GAATGAGCGCGGTGCTTGCCAGCATCCCGGCTCAGACAGCTGCGCGAGCCTGTTCCGTGGCCATTGACCTGCAGCCATTGAGCCAATGCTCGTCCTCAGCTCCTTGTGATGGGCGTGGGTGCTCACTCGGGATTGGGTGCCGGCTCAACGTGCATGGTGCGACAACCTGCGGGCCGAAACTTGCGAGCGAGCACGCGTTCCTTTAAATCTTGAGTTGTCGAGCAAGCACGCAGGATGCCTCAAGATTCGTCCATTTAGTGGCCGTGGTTGGCATTTAGTAGAACAGGTTGCCCGCTCAAATTTTTGCGCGCGAACCATGCGAACGTCGTGCGGGCACGACACGCTGGAGCGAGCACGCTTCGTTGGAGCGAGCACGTTGCGTGCGAGCGAGCACGTTGTGTGCGAACGAGCACGGTGTTCCGAGCGAGCACGCAGTTTGGGAACGGGGTGCGCGGGAACCAGGCCGAATACCAAAAGACAAGCTAGTTTCCTTTAAATCTCTTTTACTGGACATTCCGGTCTCCTGGCCCCCGTGTGCCACCGCTTTCAATGCCGACGTTTTCGAGTGGACCGGCCACGAACGAACAGGATTCAGTAAACTCAGCACAAGAGTCACACAATCACACAAAATAAATCAAGCAAAGTATCACAAGTGCAATCTTCTGCAAAGCTAGGTGCAGAGATATGCGAACACTTTGCGATGTGCAGTGAAACAACAATGAGCGAGCGAGCACCATGTCATGTTGGAGGCAACGACCTCGAGGCAACATGTATAGCGAATCCCTTGACTAAATACTACAGCCTGGAACCCAACAACCTGTGTTACCCCTGAGAGTATTCGAAGAGCCCCTAATTGAACCTGAAGCCTTAGATCTTAAGTCTAAACCCCGAACCCTAACACCCCCATATAGTCATAGCCGGCCATTGTCATTCTGCTTCAAGTGCCCTTCTGCTTCGATAGATGGTTCTGCTTCGGGGCGGGGTTTGCTTCTGCTTGTCTTAAGAAAGGCGCCCTTCTTTTCCTTGAAAGCGCATCACACTGCTCGAAACACGCATGCTGCAAAGGCTGGCATGTTTGTGTCCTCATATTTTGTGGGATTATCTAGTGGTCTGAAGTCTCTGCAGCATCGTGCTGAAGCCCCCGCACAGCCAGGCCACTCTCCGTCTCTCCGCGGAGTTTAAAGCATCATCGGCCTCCTTGCCCCAGCACCAGCATATGTAATATGCCTGCGCTTGGCTCCTTTCTTTGGGTGGCAGCTGGGTCCCACGTTTGATGGATTCATTGATCTCGCGGCTTTGGATGTCCGGGTTGTAGCTGGCAGCGCAAGATCCCCCACAGGCTCTATGGTCGTTTGCTAGCACGGGTTCTAGGGGCTCAATAAACCCGACCACGAGATAAACTCGCTTCCGAAGTGATGCCGAGAATCTTCCCAGCGTGGGTGCCGCTGAGCAACCTTGCTTGGAAGTGCGGCAGAGTCTTGTCTTTGGTGACCTGGTGTGTCATCGCAACGTTCTCCACTGCAGCAAACCTTTCCTTCAAGAACTGCGGGATCGTGCTTGTGATCACAAGAAGGCGGCGGCTCTTCTTTTCCCTGGCTGCAGCCACCCCAGCTCCCGGATCCTCGCAGCCCGTCGCTGCTGATGCCTGCATGGTTTGATTGTGCTGTCGCCCACCGTCGTGCGACATGGCCCTAGGGAAGCCCGCCAAGCCACACGATGCGTAACTGCTTGCAGTAAGCATTGCGCCAATTTGTCTGCCAACAGCTGTTAAATGCATGTTTGCTTTCTTCTGTCCTCCACTGGCATCTCCGCGCCAGATGTCTGATCAGCATCTCGCTGCTTCTCTTCCTGTGGAGCAATGAATGAATACAAGAAGGGCATGGAGAAATGAGAGACACGTCGAAGTGCCCTGGACCCAGGTCTCAAAGCAAGCTGATGCACAATCTAGACTTGACTGCATGGCCCACTTCAATATCTGAAACCAGATCACACGACAGACTTAATTTCCCTGTTCTTTGCTGACATGAGCCTGCTCGAGCTTGTCCAGCAAATCCTCAGCTGCCCATGCTGGATCCCTCTCGATGAGCAAGTCTTGCACCTCAATAATGAGAAGGGAGTAGCCGCCCCGTGATGGCTGGGTTGAGTAGGTTCGTACATACTCATGCTTCTTTCTTATTTGACATTTGTTGCGAAATGATAGGGCTCGCCCAGCTCATCTTCATCTGAGTCTTCCTTGCCGTCATCCTCTTGCTGGGACTTGGAGCCAGTCCTTTTGCGTCTCTTTCCGTTCAAATCTTGGCAAGTCTGCAAGACCGTCTGCACACAGGCGTCGGTCACGTGCTGCTGAACGATGCCAAGTTTGCAAATTGCCCTGATCTTCTGGGTCTTCGTTGTGTTTTTTGCGAACATTGGCACCGTAGGCCTCCAGAGCCTGGCTCAAGCACTCTGCAGTCAGCTTGATCACCTCGCCGATTTCCACAAGCCGCACGATCAAAGGCAAGAAGCACGTTGCAGTCCAGCTCTTCGGTCCAGGAGCCGACTGCCACGTGAAGCGAGTACTTGAAGCACGGAGCCAACACTCTTCTAAACAGAAGTGCTGTTTTGAAGATAATATTGCGTTGCAGCCTCCGAAACAATCTCTTGCAATGGCAAAACGTTGGCAGCAGAATTTGGCCTGGACATTTGCATAAAGTCTAGACTAGGCGCACACAATAACGTGTGCCTTGGTGCAGACTTTTGGGGCCCATTGACAAAGTGATTCAGTTGTCTGGGGGTGTGCTTGGATCTACCATCAGACAAGTAGCGTATGCCACTGCGGGTGTCGTGCCAAGCAGATGTAAAACTGCTTGTTGACACTGATCAGCATTCCTTTCTGGCAAAGCATCGGCACCCAAAAGCTCTTCGTGGCAATTTCCATGTCCAGGCCTTGCCTGTCTTCCACGGCGGTGCCTTCACTAGCTGTAGCAAAGGGACAGCACTGTTCGCACCAATGTGCAACACGAAATTCCATTGCATCCAAGATACCTGTGTGCGAGAAGCAGCCCCTTCATGTTGTTTTCTTCGCTCTGCTTGCTGTGCATGTGTGCAGATTTGCCGGTAGCTTCTTTCAGTAGGCCGTCAACATGAGGGCCATTTGCTCAGCTGTGCTGACTCAAACAAGACATGTGTACACGGGAGGTTCCGCCCTGCTTGCTGTTTGCCTGGCTGTCTGCTTGCTTAGCACGTATTGCAATTTCTGATGTGCACTACAGCTGGAAACTCCGACTTGGAAAAGGCTAGAGCACCCTGGAAAGATCCAACTTCTTGCCCGCCGGTGGATTGCAAGTTACCCAATCTGATGCCGTCACTTCTTCACGCGGACAAGTTCAAGTCATGCAGAAAAGACTTTTTCTCAGGTGAGAACAGGCCCCACAGACTGTGACTGCAACCTGGTGTCCTGGGGGGCAAGCGTCCGGCGAGAAGAGCTTGCTCTTGAGGCATCGAACGTCGCGTCCCGAGAAGTCGCTGTCGGACAAGGTGGCTTGCATGGGGAGCTGCGCAGGCGCCTGGAAGGAAGTTGGCCAGCAAGCCAGCACCGAGCTCCTTGACCCAACAGTCGCTCCTGCCTCAAGACCCTTGCCCCTTACAAGCAGAAGGAAAGCCTGACTGCGAAAGCACTCGAAAACATGCTAGTCTCGAAAAGCTAGCAAGGAAGCTTTCCGACGAAAGGAGCTTCTTTTTCACACCAGATGCGAAAATTCATATCAGTAGTGGCCACTGGCCACGGCCTCGACCCTTTGAGCCTGCATCTGGCCCGGATCCTTTGTGGCCAGTGACCTTCCACTCCCTATGGCAGCGTCTACAGTTGTGGTGGCTGTAGGGTTCACAGTATCAGTAGCACTCGTGATCCCTGTGCTGCTGCTGCTCAAGCTCCCGAATCCCCTTCAGCAAGTCTCGCTCTCGCTCCAGGAAACGATCTTCACGTTCAAGGCGCTGCTGCTCGCGACGGTCCAGAGCCTCCTCCCTCGCATCGAGCTTTTTCTCTCGCTCGTCGACCCTGGCACTTTTGTGGTCAGTGACGCCGACCTTTCTCATCATGGTCTTCATCTCCTGGTCATTAGGCTGCAGTGAGTAAGGGTTCTCAGCGTGGGAGCCACTCACCATCACAGCTGAAAGACGGCGCAGGAGGCGGGCAGCGAGCAGCTGGAGCAAAAGTCTTCGGGAACCCCAAAGAAAAACAATGCTGCAGCTGACTTCTTTCGAGCATGGGAGCAGAACCTCCGCACATGTAAGTCATGTTCCACACTGACTGCCTAGCCCTCCAGCGTGCAGGACGGACCAGCAAACAGAACCTAGAAGCGAAACCCCTGTCTCCTCCTTCAACTGGACCACCAAAGCGTCGTAGTCCTTGGCGAGTGCCCCCTCGTCCAGGTGGTGCTTCCTCGCTCACAGCCACAACAGATGCAAACACAGACGTCCTTTTCTGCGACTTGTACAAACTCTTGAGCAGTGCCGTGACGTCCGTCAGGGTGCGGGCATTCAGGATGTTCACGTCCGGTGCTTTCTTCCCAGTAACTCAGATTGAGCAGACTCAGACAACAAGCAAAAAGTATCGGTTGCAAGCCTCTCAAAGCCGCTGAAAGAAGCAGTGCCAAACAAGAAGCGAAGGAAAACCACACGGCGCAAGCGTCCCCGCCAGCAAGCACCAGCTGCAGCCGCCTGCAGAGGGCATCAACTATAACATAACACGATCGAAGTCATGCTGCTAGGTGCAACGCTGAATGACTCCCTGCCGACCTTTCAAGCCGCCGGCTCCCCGATCTTCTGCTTGGTCTTCTTGATACGAAGTGCCGTGGCACTCAGCAAAGATTCCTTAATCTCTCGCATTTGCTATCAAGCACTCCTGCAATGCAGCAAAAACTCTGTGTCCAACAAAAACTGCCGCTCGCGTACACATTGCCTTTTGCCACCAGGGTTCGTATTCCCCGCCCGTCGAAAGGAGATCACTCGCAGAGGTAAAGGAGGTCAGGTTGGCTAGAGCCACAGCGAGCTGCTTGCACGACAGGTCGTGGAGCCTTAGCTGCCGAGGCTGCCTGCTGAACTCCTTCTGAGGAAGGTTGAAGATGGAGATCAGGTCCTCCTTCTGCGTGGAGTGACTGCTCTCGGAGGAAGTACCTGCCCAAACACGACTCTGGCAAACCGAACTGCCTCGATTCAAACCATATGAGAGAGGACCCCACAAAAAGAGCAGCCTCGCTTGCGCTTCTGCGTGTCCTTCTTGCTTCCAGCAGAGGCCGCGTCTTTGCTGTCGAAGCCTCCTGAGAATAGCCCATGAAGCTTCAGACAAAACAAAAACCGGTTCAAAAAGCCATGAGCAACAAGATGTACAGCTTCTAGCCAACAAGACGAGGCTCCAGTCGACAAAGCTTTGGCAAGTCGATTGTGAGCAGATGTCATCAAGAAGGAGCCGGCGGCCTTTGCATCTGCCTCCATTTCTGGATCCGGCAAAGACTTGGAGGAGTGGCTCCTGCCGAGATACAGGTCTGGGAAAGGTATGCAGGGCCTCTCCTGTCCCAAATGTTTCCCCTCGATCGTCTGCTGTCCTGCTGGGGCATGGTGGAGTGCAGCGAGAAGCACAGACCACTACCGGCCAGGGCAAGCTCCGAAGCTCTCGTGCCACAAGCCAATCCGGCGGGGCAGCAAACTCTGGATGAGGGATTTCACCTAAAACCCCTGCTCTGTCTCTGCTCGGGAAAGCTTCCTCTAGCCTCGCGGCTGTTCCGCGAAAAACAAACTATCTGCAATATTGCATTGCGGAATCACGATCAGAACAAACCCTACTAGTGAGTACAAATACTACATGGAACGTACGATGGTTTTGAAGAACTATCAGCAATGCAGTATTCATAACCCATTGACATTGAGCAAGCCTCGCGGCTATTGGCCAAGATGACTAGGGACACTGGCTCTCGGCGGCAAATCCGCCTCGAGTGGGCCCGCGAGTTCTTGTCGTGGCTAGTCCGCAAACAGAAACTTCAAAACTTCTTAGTCTCCCACTGACACAACATGCCTATGACCTCCCAGGAGAGCTTATGGACGAATACAAAAGCACGTCGAAACGTCCGCAGACACGCTTGGAAGCAGCCTGCTAAGACTTGTGGATGCTGCTGCCGGCAGAAGCTGTGAAAGCATTCTATGATAATCACTGAACGACTCTCCTCCTATTATTGGTCTTACGGGCCTATCTCAAGTGCTAGCTCTACATAAATAAAGTGCGGGGCCGAACTATTGACTTCCAGGAGCATCCAAGTAATGCATT